CGCCGTCCCGCCCGCACTCCCGCCACGGGAGCCGGGGCACGATCCATCCCGTATCCGTGCCCTCCCCAAAAATGCTCCGTGGTGGAGGGTCAGGCTGGGAGCGGGGAAAAAAAATTGCTGCTTTAATCCCTTGATCCCCCGGTGGGAGATGGAGCCTGTTTGCCGACCCCGTGCCGGGAGCTGCCACGGGCAAAAGCTCCCACGGCTGCCGGGCACGCTGGGATCTGCTCGGTGGGATCCACCATCCCAGCCCCGAGCGCAAATTATTTGGAAGCTTTTTTAATGTCTTGGCGTTTATAGGAGGATTATTTGGGGATGGGCATCACAGCCGGAGCCGCTGCCACTTCTCCGCTGCCGGCAGCATCAGCTCCGGCTTGGCGCCGCCGCAGGGGGATGATGGCGAAGGGCTTTGCAAGGCGGGGATCTGCATGGGACCCCCAAAATTCCCAAGGATGGGGCTTTGCCATCCTGCTGCGGGACGCCCATCGCTGGGGGCACGGAGGGCGGCGGATGGCTGAGCTGGGTGGCGGTGCCTGTGATGGCTCCCGGGCGCCGCAGAGGCGGCGGCAGAGGAGGGAACGTGGCCGGGGACCTCGGGGTGCTTCCGCTGCTGCTGCGAGGCCTCAGGAAATGGCGCTTTCTGCCTGGCTGGGTGGCGGCAGGTTGGAAATCCTAAGCTGAAAAATGATCGGAAAAGGGGAAAGCACTGCTCCAGGCCCTCACCGCCACCCGGACCTCCTCCATCCCGAGGGAAAGCCCTTTCCTGGGAGCCGGGGGGACCCAGGGGGCTGGGTTTTGGCCAGACAGGAACCGGGCGTCTTATGAAATCGGCTGTCCCAATCTCGCTTCCTCCTTTCGTAGGTTCCCTTCCCCCTTCTCATGGCCGGGGGGGGCAGCGGGACCCCCCCGGGGGGACGGGGATGGGAGGGTCCCTCCGTCCTCACCCACCCCAACCACATTCCTTGACTCCAGATTCAATTTTTCCACCTCCTGAGCTTGTGAGATCAGTGATGGAGCAGGAAGTGATGGGTTGGGAATCTCCTGGTGGGGCACGATCTGGATCCGGCACGTTGCCACGGCTACGGCGATGCTGTGAGAGCACATTGGCGCAAGCCAGTTTTGGGCCGGACATCCCAAACTGGGAGAGCTGGTGGGGCAAAGCCTGGCAGAAAAGCCAACGGCAGAGCCCGGGGGATCCAAACTGCCACCAGGAAGGGGATGGATAAACCCGTCGCATGTCAAGAAATGGGGAATTTAGTTTTATTCCCCAAAAGTTGGCTTCTTCCCAGCTAGGGCACCGTGGCAGATGCCGCTTTGGCAGAGCGATGGGAGGATTGTCCCCGTGCCAAGTGGTTTGGGATGTGCCGAGGTGGCTTTTTGGGACGGACCTGAGGAAGGGGAGCATCTTTGCTGCTGGGATGGGGATGCTCGGATGCTCCCGCTTGGAGCAGTTGGGATTTTTGCCCCCTTTGCACGTCAGGAGGTAGCAATCGGGAATATATAAATGAAATTGTGAGTCGAGGGTGTGGCGGAGGTGAAGCCAAAAACAGCTGGGAGGGTTTGGCTGGAGCCTTGGGGACGGGGGCTGATGGGGACGGGGGCTGCTCCGGCTGGGAGGTTTTGCCGGCGGGGGCTTTGCTGCCGCTTCTCCCGGGACCTGGGGGAGAGCGCGGCAAACGTCACTGCTGCAGATGTTTGCAGATGTTTGCAGATGTGCTGTTGGCCCCGGCGGTGGGACTGGTCACCAGTGAGCCCCAGCTGCGGTGTCGGCCTCAGCTCAACCGGGAAGGAAAACTGATGCTCGGCTTTCTGCTGGATCCGTCCCCAGCCCGGTCCCGGCACGGTGGCCAGGTCTGGCTGGGTGCCACGGGGGCTGCGGTGGGGTGTCCCCGCGGCGGGCGTGTGCCCTGGATAGGAAGGGAAGCGGCCTGTGAGCCGAGAGCTGCCATACGTGGCTGGATCAGGCCCTGGCTGAACCAGGAGAGCATCCCGGCACGGGGAACGCCCTGGGTGACTGGATCAGGCCCTGGCTGAATCAGGAGGGCATCCTGGTGCAGGGATCCCCCTGCGTGGCTGGATCAGGTGCCCCACATGGCTGGATCAGCCCCCCCCTGCGTGGCTGGATCAGGCCCTGGCTGAATGAGGAGGGCGCAGGGGTCCCCCGGTGTGCGGGCGCAGGGTGGGCAGGCAGGCACCCAGCGGGGATGCGGGCGCAGCGGCTGGATCAGGCTCGTCTCCCCCAGCCTGTGCCGAGAGCAGCTTCTGCTTGTTCTTAAAATAAAGCCGGGAGCAGCAGGCGGTAGTGGCCGCCCATCCCTTAGCCTGCTCCTCGCCACCCTCGCAGCAGGATCCGGCTATCAGCGGGGACCCGTCTGCTTGTCCCTGCCTGGCACATGGTGGGTTTGGGACCCGGCTGGATCCAGGGACTCCCTGGCGGGATGGGCTGGTCCTGGGAGCATCGCCCAGCCTGGCTTGCTGCATGCTGGGGGTTGGGAGAGCCCTGGGTGGGCCTGATCCTCCTGGGTGCCCAGTGCTGAGCCTCGGGAAGAGGCAGGAGGACGGATCCAGCGGCAGTCAGGGTCGCTGGAGGGGACACCACGGGATGGCTGGCACTGCGGGGCTGAGCATGCCCCAAACCCCCTTGGGTGGGAGCATCGCGCTCCGTGGCCACAAGGGATGGAGCATCCCGGGAATGGCGTGGTCCATTGGCCACCAGCCCAGGCACCTGGTGACAGTCGTCCCCTTCCTGCGGCGGGCAGGGTTGGTACCCGATGTTCAGACTGGGATGCTCTCCTGTGCCACTGAGGCTTTCCAGCTCCGTGGATGCGCATCCCCCCCATGACCCAGAAACGATACGATCTGGGCTCAGTCTGGTTTTCACTTGAGCCCGTCGGTGTTTTGCAGAGCAAACACTTCCGTAAAGGATGCTTTGAATGGCGTGGTCCATTGGCCACCAGCCCAGGCACCTGGTGACAGTCCTTCCCGTGGCCAACTGGTCCGTGGAAGCCCCTAAACTGCCATCTCAGGGCTGCTCCGGCCCCTTCCCTGCGGCGGGCAGGGTTGGTACCCGATGTTCAGACTGGGATGCTCTCCTGTGCCACTGAGGCTTTCCATCCCCGCTCCGTGGATGCGCATCCCCCCCATGACCCAGAAACGATGCTCCCTGGGCTCAGTCTGGTTTTCACTTGAGCCCGTCGGTGTTTTGCAGAGCAAACACTTCCGTAAAGGATGCTTTGAATTTTTTGCGCTGGGGTTTGGTGCAGAGCCCGGCTCCGCTCGGCTCTGCCCGCTTGCGTGCGGAACAAAAAGAAAGCGTCTGACACCCAAAATAGCTTCATCCCCCCATCATCAGCAGCCCCGGCGCCGCGGGTGCTGCAATATGAAAAGGTCTTTTCGTACCGGAAAATGATGTAGATGCTGCTTTGCCTCCTCCCAGTCTTAGTTTTAGGTGTTGGGTTAAGCCCAGCTCAACCCCGCAGCAAACCCACCCTGAGACGGTGGGGTCCCAGCCAGCCGCATCCTGGCGCCAGGCATGGGTGGGATGGCACCATGGGCTCCGTGGCACCTCGGGTCCCAGGAGCGTTGGTGGAGGACATTTGGTGGCATCCGTTCAGTAACGCGGTGGGCTGTGGACGCTGCTGGCAGGCTGGGGCGGGGGGAGGACGGGAAAGCCCCACGCCAGGGTGGGATGAGGGTGCTGAGTGCCAGCCAGAGGGTGCTGGATGACGGGAGGTGGGATGTGGCTGCTGGGGGCGAGTCCCCATGGCACTTCCATCCTTGTCCCCCAAGGAGGAGGAAGACCAAGTCCTTCCTCCGCCACCTCCGGGGTGCTCGCCTGCTGCCCTGCCCCACGTCTCCCACCCGGACCCACATCACCCGCCCTGCCCCACACCTCCCGCAGCACTGGTCCCCCCCTCTCCGACAGGAAACAAGAACCGGTTTCTTTGTGCTGCCGGCTGATGCCGGGGACCACAGCGGAGCCACTTCCTCCCCCCCGGCACCACGTGCCCTCCCGGGGCCGCAGCGGGACGCAGCCACCACCCAGTTTGTACCCCAGCCCTGCCACATCCTGCCACCCGGCCCAGCCCTGCTCGTGAGGAAGGGACTGCGGGGCTTGGGCAGAGCCACCTGCGTAGGGACATCCCCCTGCCCCGCCTGCATCCTGGTGGCCGGGAGGTCCTGTCCCACCGGTGACGGCTGGTCCTGGTTTTTCCAGGTCCCACGCATGGCCACTGGAAGAGATGGTCCATGTGGTGGATGCCACCATCCCCTCGCCGCTGAGGGCACCCAACAGAGTGTCCCACGGATGCTGCCGGAGCCCTGGGTGGGGTGTTTGGGTGCGTGGTCCCTCTCGGCACAGCCCTGTCCCTTGGTCTGACCCTCCTGGAGGGTCTCATCCGTCCCAAGGATGGCAGCTTGGGGACCATGGGGACAGGGTTCCCCAGCAAACAGGACATCCAGGTGCTGCTGCCACCTTGCCCATCCCGGGACCCACCCGGCAGCTCTGGTGCAGCCCCGGTGGCTTCGCAATGAGGCTATTTCTGACGCTGCAGCCTAATTCTACCCTCCCTGCCCAGCTCTCCACACGAGCCGTCCCCTGGCCAAATCCAGCCGAGCGCCGGCTCCTCTCCGCCCACTTCTCCTGGCTTTGGCTTCTTGCGAAAGCAGCTCAACAGGTCCTCGGTGGAGGCGGGCGGCGAGGTTTCCGCTCCTGCCTGCCGCTGTGGCACCTCTCCTCTTGGACCTGCTCCTCCGTGAGCAACCAAACCCCTGTGAGATGCGTTTTTCCCAGGGACGTGGGTGTCCCAGGGGTGCATGCAACCCCACATCTCCATCCCCAGCCATCAGGGGACCCCAAAACTGGAGGTTAAGGGTGACCTGGGGCTGTGCATCGCCTCCACGTGCCATTGTGCCAGCTTGCCCGGGCTCTCCGGGCCAGCAGCAGCCTCAGTTCCTGCTTTTCCCTGGGGGCCAGATCACCAAGAAATGGGTCTTTTGGGAAAATAAATAGGCCACGACCCGAGCTGAGCTCCCAGCATGGCCCAGGCCACAGTGGGTGCCCCATTAAAGGCTTTGCTGGTCACCCCATGCTGTCCCTCAGGGACCCGCTGTGTCCTCAAGCACCCCAAAGGCAGGAGCTGCACCCGGGGCCTCCCAGAACCCCCGGCCGTGGTGCGGAGCAGTTTCGGCAGCTGCCTCGTGCCGTTCGGAGAGAGGAAACCACGTCACGTCCTGCCGGGGTGGCCCCGGGGGGGCAGCGGGGGCCGGGGTTGTGCAACGGTGGCACGGAGGGACGTGGTAACATGCCAGACCCTGCCCTGACATCATGTCTCTAAAGAAACATTGATTTCACCAGCCAGGCTCGTCACGCGCCCGCGGTGGGGGGACTTGGAGGTGACCGTCACCCTCAAGCAGAGCCCAGACTCCTGGGTTCCTCAGCTGTGTCACCGGCCTGTGTCCCCATCCCTCACCCTAAGTGGCTCTGCTGGGACTGGGCTGGCTGAGGCCGGGAGCACTGTGCACTCATGACATGGATGGACGGGTCCAGTTTTTCCTCCTGTCCTCCACTAACACCCCCTGCCCTCCGCCTCGGGGACCCCCAGGTGGGGACATGGCTGATGGGTCCATCGCTGGTGGGATGCTAACATCCTGGGAACGGTGGTGTCCCCATCCTCCCACTGGTGTCCCCATCATCCCACCGCTGAGCAAGGACACCCAGTGCTGGGCGAGCAGCAGGTGCTACAGCCCCGGGGGCTGTTTTTGGGGGTGACCCCCAGCCCTGACACCCATCACCCCGCAGAACTCCATGAACCTGCCCCCGGACAAGATGAAGCTGCTCAACCAGTACGACAACGAGAAGAAGTGGGAGCTCATCTGCGACCAGGTGAGGTCTGGGCATCACGGTGTCCCCGGTGCCATCCCTGTCCCCAAGTGCCACTCGCAGTGTTGGGCATCAACTCAGCGTGTGCTGAGCGCTGACATCCGTCTCCGTTAGCGATACAGCGCCTTATTAACCTGATTAAACATTGATGCAGCGCGGGGGCGGGGGCGGGGACATGGTGGCTGCCGCGGGGACGGTGGCACGTCCCCGTGCCGCGGGTGGGTGGCCTGGTTTCAGCCTCTCTCCGGGGCTCGTAGGAGCGTTTCCAGGTGAAAAACCCACCATC